CGCAAAATAGAATTTCTTTGTTCTACGTCTATCGCGATTGTCCAAACATAAAAATATTTTCTTCACGACTATGCTTGTTCGTGTGTTTTTTTTGTATTTAATATACGTATTTCTATCTCTATTATTTCACGCTTTTGTTCCATAGAAATAAAAATGTGCAAAAAAATAGAATTTCTTTGTTCTACGCCTGAACATTAAAATATTTCCTTTATGTCTGTGCTTATTCGTATGTGTTTGTGTTGTATTTATAATTTATACATATATTACGTATCTCTCCATTACCTCGCTCTTTATCATACGTCGGATGTAAAAATTTATGGGTCATTAAAGAAGATGTATTACGATAACGTGCGTTAAAAAAATTACATATATAGGATATGTGATCACCCTACTTTCATCAAATGCGTCGCAAAACGTGAGTAATTAGATATTATTAATCTTGTCAGTCATTAATTGCACTCAAATTGAATAAAACGATGCAAATGGGAGGAAAGGCCGGAGTTTTGTATGACCTGGTTCTAAAAAGCTACTAGTAGAATACTACTGTTATGCCCGCGCCGTTCGGTCCCGAGTGCTATTATTTTAAGATTGCTGTTATATGCGTTTTTAAATTTATTAAATATTCGCGGTTCTAATTAAAACTTAATATCGTAATTTGCTCTTTTGATATTTCCATTTCCCATTAACGTCAATTCAGGAGCACTGCACCGAAAAATCAGTTGTCCGAATAAATTTTCTTACGCCCGATCGTTTAGATTTAGGGCGATAGAAATATTCCTCGTCTACAGGAGCTGACGTCCGAGAAGAGAAAGTATCTCCCCTTTGCAATTAAAATCGAGGGGTGAACGTCTCTCTTATGAACACCCGCATTTTTTCACATATCCCTGTGGGGTGATTTCGCGACGTTGCCGTCGTCGTTCCTGCGCAACATTTGCGATGCACCCTTCATCCCTCGGTTTTTCCCCCTTATGCGGCATTGCTGCACATCTCTTTCCCACGCGCTTTCCCATATCTCGTCAACCTCGAATCCTCATTAACTCGTTGTCGCGGATTTGCCCTCAATATAAGATAATATAGCTTAGAAGATGGCTTAGAAGTTCATCAACTTTAGCCTTTCCACATTCTCGTAATGCGTGGTAATATTTATTTCATACTCGCAAGTAGGTTGTCACAATATCAATAATGCAAAAAATATATCTTTATATCAACGTGAGAGTAACGTAATAATAGTGTTTAGATAAAAAATAAAGATACATTATAAAAGTATGCCAACAGTTTATTATTTATTCATTAAGAGTTCATTATCTAGAGTTCCTTTCTAGTTACTAAAATAAGATTACGTAAATTGTTTATTTCAAAGTTAGCAAAAATCAATTTTTTTGACATAATAAATTAAAATATGGATATAAATTGATGTGCCATGTATGTAATATTAATTGAACTTTACAAAATTATAGAAAGAGATTTTGTATTAAATATAAATAGTATATTATTAATATACGATATATAAATAATTTGTTCTGAAAAGAATTAGTAAGAAAATATGTCAGCTTAATATATCTTATTACTGGAAATAGAATATGTATACATCAAAGAAATCATATGACACATTTTCTACGCTTTTTTGATCTGAAAATAATATTTTCGTAAAAGAAAAAGCTGAGATATATGTTTAAACATTGGTCAGTGTCTCTAAGTAGGTGATCAAAATATATAAGCTTATTACGCCCTTAAGCTTATATAAGTTTATTTTAGGGGTAAACTTGAAGTAACCGAAAGGATGGTATTTGAGGGATTTGAGGCTGAAAATCGGCCTGTTTCGACAGCTGTTGTTAGGGGACATATTGACAACAAAAACCGCGTATGTATATATTTACCTATACAACACCCTCAAGGATTAAACACATGCACGTGGATGCACGAAAAGCTTACTCTTTCTACTATGTCTACAATATAGCACCCGTGTACGCTTATGCTGCATTGTATTCACGGAAATGTCTGATATATTGATTTTTACACATACGAATTCACACACGTACATACGATATTAATCGTATATTCTGAGAAAGCTAATGATTAAATAACTTCTCTGTCAGAAATTTTAGCAAAAAGTTGGTTGTAAAATGTCAGATTTTTATATATTATTTATTTTTTTGCCTCAAACTACTAAAAGACAAATAAAATAAAATTTACTTACGCTTTATTACAATTTTTTATAAAAATAATGTTATAATAAAAAGTTAATATTCATATTATTTTTCATAAAAGATAATACATTTGGATAAATTAGAGAATAATTAATTCAAATATTTTTTATTCATGGCGGTTTAAAAGAACGTTTCTGACCTTTTTTTTATTTTTGTCGATTTAGTACATAAATTTTAATAATATTCAAATATTAATTAAATGTAGAAAAACTACCTTTAATAATTAAGAATACGTGAAAATAGTAAGGCTACATTTGATTGGCAATTCATCTAATATTCTAATGTACACTCATTGATATTCTTATGTTAAATAGTGTGAGTATTCTGAAAGCGTTGCACAAAATTTCCACAGAAAATATGGAAACTTTTGTCATTTTGATTAAATAAATTTGAGTTGATTAAATAAATGAAGATTATTTAATGTATTTAACTTGATTGATAATGTCAATAAAATATGTACATTTTTATACAATTATTTATAGATATTCCGCCAATCATTTTGTTACATAAAAGTAATTAATGTGTTCTAATTTGATTGATAATGTCAATAAAATATGTATAGTTTTATATAATTATATACAGACATTCCGCTAATCATTTTGTTATATAAAAGTATTCCCTCGTTCAGAAAAAAATACTTGGAGAATCCTAGGTCATTAAGTACGGGGAAATATGGTCCCGGTAAGAATGTAGACACGCAATTAAACGGGTAGCAAGAAAAAGACAGCGTCGATCGTTAGCGGGTCGTTTCAGACGTTGGATGCGAGAGGCCGAGCGTTATCTCGCTCGTCCTTCCAGCGATTCTACGTGCGAATTTATCGACATGAGAAATCGATGCCGGTGGGCGCGGGGACGTTACTGGGGAGCGTGTCTACGCAAAAGCACTTTATTATGGACCGTCTTCGACGCCTCCCTGCAAAGTGGGTTGGAGCACGCGAATGTCGCAATACGTCGCAAATTGTCGCAAATGACAAAATACGCCGCATGAATTCTCGGAAATAATCACAGAGCGCGGATGCGTGACGTGGATCATGAAATAACGTTTACATTTCTCTCATTCTAAAGTGGCCTATAAACTATGTTGATTTTGTCAGAAATAAAAGAGAACGAAAGATGCACGTTTTGTTTCGTATTCCAATATTATACTAATTATACGTATATATCTAAAAAATACATCTAGATTCATTGTAAAAATTTTAAATAAAACAAAAAGATATATCAGCTGATATACACTGTATTATACCCGTTTCGTTAAGTCATTACGACTGTTATACATTTAAATAACTTTGACGAAAATTTTTGAACAGATACACTTTGTTGCGCGCAGACGCAATTAAAGATTAAATACTTGGAATACGATCACGAAGCGCACAAAATTATTATTATGATCCGTTGCGCTCCGTCCGTTACATCAGTGAGTTAAATTTATAATTATCAGAAATTCTTCAAAGGTACCTTAGCTCAAGGATAAACGTGTCGGTCGATGCCGACAATGCGCAATTGTTCGTAACAATTGGGACGTCACTCACGATGAAAAAAAAAGTCCACCCACGGGAGCGGAGAATCACCGCGGCAGTGGACTGGAATTATTACCGGCGCGCTTCGCGCTATTTTCCATGAAACTTGACGAGCACTGCGGTCTGCTGAAGGTTGCACGACACGCTAATCGATATAGTGACTTTCGTCATAAAGTAGGTAAAAAAAATTGTTGCCGATTTGATCGACAGATAATTGACCACTTCGTGCACGTGCGATGCAGTCGCGTTTTTTTGAGCAATCCGGTATCGCGGTACAACACATCGGTTATTTTTTTACGTATTTATTTTTGTTTACTTCGCATGACCGAACCGGACACTTTTACGTCAACTGCAGACGCCAACTCTTTTACGATATGTGATTAAAAAGGTTAAATCATTTTTTCCACTAAAATGATTGCATTAAATTTTATAACAGGCGTTCGCTAAAAAATGTTGTATTTTATTTATTAAAAAAACATCCAATAATATACTATCAAAAGAGTTTTTTCATGCTTCTAAAAAGTTTCGTCTTTTACGATACAAGCATGTGTGTGTGTGTGTGTGTGTGTGTGTGTGTGTGTGTGTGTGTGTGTGTGTGTGTGTGTGTGTGTGTGTGTGTGTGTGTGTGTGTGTGTGTGTGTGTGTGTGTGTGTGTGTGTGTGTGTGTGTATCACACGGTCGGTACAGTATTTATATTAGTCTGTTGAACCTTATATAATCTTTTTTTTCTGTTTGGATATACGTATATATAGTTGTTATTCAACCATCATCGTTTGCATCGATTTTGACTTGCATATATCGACGTTAATCATAGCAGTTCAATCAGCAAGAGTTAATTACTTCGTGCCGTTGGTCTATCTTAATTATCCAATTATAACGATATAGCGGAATAACCGCGAGAGTAATATATTAATTATAGCGTCGAATCGGTGCTCGCGATAATTGTATTATCGGTGAGTATATTTCACGAAGCACGCTAACTACCTAGTAGATGAAAATATTTATTACCAAGCAAGTAGCAGAGATCTCTTTGCGAATGTAGAACTACAATTTAAGTGCTTTTTTTCATTCAGTAAACGTTCATATTTCTTTTCATTTCTTTCCATTAAGGCTCATTCATAAATAAAACTTTTAACTCGTTAAATAAGAATGTCTAAGAATCTTAAAAAACCAACATATTTTTTCCACCGCAATACGTATTCAAACACAAATGTTTGTTAATTTGTAATTTAAAAACGTAAACAGTAATTTTTAAAAGCATAAATGGCGCGCTCACCTGCCAGCCTTGAAGGAGGAGATTTCTGTCGACTGTTCTGAGCCACATGACAGCGTCGCCGGCCTGGAAGTCCCTTAAACGGGTGCATTTCTTGTGCAGGAAGACGCCGAGGCACTTGAGCAATTCCGAGGTGGAGGCCTGGATGACAGTTTTCCTTGGTCCAGGGGGCAGGGGTTTCTGCACCAATTTCTCACACGTCGGATTGTGCGTGGTGTGATTGTTATTCGACGCCGGTGGTTTTGTCTTAAAACCACAAGAAGATTTTAGTGAACAATTTTCTCAATATGATCAACGTAATAAAACAGTCTTATAAAATCTTATGATTTTAATAATATTTTATATTTAATACTTTTTAAACTCATACTTATTAAGTATGAGTGCTGCAAACCTTATAATAATTATGTGCTAATTTAACGCATGTAATGTGATAACTTCTTCACTGATAATAAATTTAATAAAATAAATTCGATAGATTAAAATGAGATAATAATTGATTATAATAAAATAATAATTTATACATTTTATATTTTGTTGATATTAAATGTGCAGTACACAAGTAAAAACCAATAATTAAATATTAAATAAATTGAATGTTTGAGAGCAGCTATGTTTCTAGAAAGATTATTGAAAATTTATGAAGAGAACTACACGTGCCACGCGAAAGGAGACATCAAAACGATCGATAAGCTTTCGATCGTGTCTGAAGGGTCAAAGCACGTTGTATATTTCATTTCTTATGCTATAATCCCCCTTCGTTAGTGGTCTCTATATACTTCCTTAGATACAACAAGCAATGAGATATATTATTCTAATTATATATTCATTCCAATGTTGCTATTCTATATGTTTTATAATATTTATAATTCTTAAATTATTACGCCAAAAATTATTGAGTTATTACATTATATGATGTTACACGCTATACGATTACGTTATACGCTATAATAGTGTATAATGTATATCGTTATCGCAGTTATATAAAATTCTTTAGTAAATAAATTATTATAAGAAATATATATAACGGTCTTGAAAATGCAATTTTTTATTTTAAACAAACATTTAAGTTTAATTTAAATTAAGTTGTTCAAAAATAAATTTATTTTCTATCTAAAAAGATATAATAATATTTTTAATTAATCAGGATCGGTACAAAAAGGATCTACATGTGCTTCTCAGTAAACTTCGACTACAATTTTGATCAAATTTGCATCGTTATAGTATCAATGCAATTTATTAAAGCGTACTTTAGTAAATTGCATTCTTATTCTTTCATCCATTTATTTTATGATTCTTGTATATTTTGCATATTAAATATGTCAATTTACCAATTGTCGAAATAGAATTATAAGAAGCATTCTATCGAAGAGAAAAAATAAGTCTTCTCGTCTGTGAGAGTACTCACCTGCGGCGTCTGTATATTTTTATTCTTATCAACGATAGGTATATTATCGAGCGGCTGTCTGAAAGCGATGTTCTTGTTCTTGTTGTCGAGCTTCTTTTTATTATTGTTGGTCGTGCTGAATCGCTTCCACGATAGGGCATTTATGAACAGCGAATGCTTCTTCAGGTTCTTCTCCAGGGCGTTCTTCTCCGAGATGATCCTCGCGTTGTCGTTGTTGTTCAGATTAATGTTATTGTTCTGTAACGAATTGTTGTTCGTCGGCGGATGATTCGTGGGTGGCGCCGGCGCCACCGTGGCTACGCTGCTCTTGTTCTCGCGATTCTTCGCGTTGTTTAGTTGCTCGTAATTGAAGTTGTTTAACGTGAAGTCAGCGGGATGCTGATGCCCCGTTGGCGGGTAAACAGACCCCCGACGGTCTCGTGGACTAAACGACAATACGGTCCCCATGGTGCTGGCGGTACGCTGCTGCTCCGGATGTTGCGGCTGCGGCTGCGGTTGCGGCTGAGGTTGCTGTTGTTGCGGTTGACTCGGTTGTGCCTGCTCCCTGTCACCCTGTGTCGGCTGAGTTGGATTCTGACTTGGCTGACGACTCACGGGTGGATGAGAAGCTTCTCGTGCTGGACTCGTCGGATGTCCGGGATTTTGTGTTGGCTGGCCAGCGGGATTCTGGTCAGCGGGACTCGGGTGACCCGGGTTACCGGGATTGTGACCTGGATTACCCGGATTGTGGCCGGGATTATCCGGGTTGTGGCCCGGATTGCCCGGGTTATGTCCCGGATTGCCTGGGTTGTGATCGGGATTGCCTGGGTTGTGGCTGGGATTGCCTGGATTGTGGCCGGGATTTCCCGGATTATGTGTTTGATGACCGGGGTTGTGACCGGGATTGTGGCCGGGATTACCCGAATTGTGATGCCCGGGATTTTGGGACTGGTGCCCCGGATTGTGGGTCAGATGACCCGGATTCTCGTGATGCTGAGACGTAGCGGGCGGCGGTCTCGGCGGACTCGGTGTAGTAACACGTTGCGGCGGAGGTGCTCGAGGAATCGAGGTCTCCCTCGAGGGTCCCGTCAGCGGGGTCGCATCCCCTGGCTCGATGGCCTCCTCCACGACGGGACCCACCACCTCGCTCAACCGACCTCCCAGCCTGCTGATTTCTACCTTCGACTTGAAGGACACTACTTTTTCTTCCTCCCGCGACGTTGGGCTCCGATTTACCTTCTGCTTCTCTGCCAAATCTTTTCTTTTCTTATTAAACTTAATGCAAAATTTACGATAACGTACCCTCTCCGCGGCGGGAGAGCGTTATAAATAATATGGCGGTCGTTCACGGTGGTCGATAAGCGATGAGGGAGAGAGAACGAGACGTGTTTGAGGAATGGATACGCGAATAATCTGGTCCTTCCGCTTAACGTAAGGTCCGCAGCCTCTGTAACTTCCGTATCGTTGAAGATGTCACGCGGCAAGATGTCGTCGATGCGCGCAAAAGATGTCGGCCGTCGTGCAAAATGGCGAGCGATCGATGCTTTACCGCCCTCCGCCTCTCGGAGGGAGGATGAGCCAGGTGAACGAAAACACTGGATCGACGCACCGAAAACACCCTACTTGATACCCTGACTCTCGTCCTTTGCGTGTCGCGTCTGCTCGCCTTTACAGACGGTTGTACATGCCAACGCTTTCTCTGCACTCTTAGAACACTCTCAACGCACTTTTAATGCACTTCTCTCAAACGCGATTCGCGACTTATTCTTCCTTAAAATTCAGCTACTTTGGCTATCGATCTTTGACTGTCGGTATCACAAACGATCGACGACCCTCGTCATCGGCGCCGATCTCTCCGATTTGTTTCGTATGCTTTTTCAAATTTTAATCCAGCGTTTTTGCTACGGCTTCGAACGATACCTCGAAGCTGCACTCGTAGAATCTATCCCCCGAGTGGACTCACGTATATGGATGGCTTTTGCGGCGGACTTCAAGAGACGTTGCAAACAACAACACAACGCGCGCGCGCTTCTTCGGGAGCGTTGCGAGAACGACTGATTACTCCGTCGTCGGCAGGCGAACTATTTCTCTCCGTCGCGCGGCAAGTTTTGCTGGTAATCTGCTGCGCTCGTCCTCGGCGACGTCGACGTCGCCGCCGTCGTCCTCGTCGTCGTCGGTCGGCCGTGCGTCCACCACCTACGTCTACGGCCAACCAAGACGTAGCACGCCCCGTTACTGTTATCGGTGCGCGCGCAATGGTTCGATAAACGCGGAACGTCGATGGTCGGGGGTGGAAACGGACGAGAGTGCCCGCGAAGGAGGAAGGGAGAGAGAGGAATGGAGCGAGAGCGAGAAGGAGCAAGGAAGGGTGCGCTGAGAGCGGTCGAGGCAGAGGGCGAGAGCGTGGGGGTGCGTCGCGAAGGTGAGACGGAAAAGGGCGTCGGAGACGGAGAAGGAGCGAAAGGGACGGAAGGACGCGAGACGGATAGTGGATGGGGGAGGGTGGTGGACGTGATCGAGAAGGGCGAAAAGGAAGGGTAGTTCGCGTGTATACCGCGAGCACGACTCTGTGTATATACGCCCAAACTTTTCTCCGACATAACTCACCCTTCCCCCCCCCCCCTCCCACCCTCAGGGAAGCCCAGGGGACAGGTCGAGACTGCTGTCTTGGGTAGACCGCGGAAAAGCTGGTGCCGCGCGCCACTACCGTTAGACACTTTTCACGAGGGGTTTCACCGACGACTCGTGAACGTAGGTCGAGATTTTCTGCAGGGAGAGCGCACGCGAGAAAATGAATGAATGCGGGACGCGCGCGCGGCGCACAGCGTAAATAAGCACGGACCACGAGTAAATATTGGAACTCGCTGAAGCTCGTGCATGCGGAGCGAAATGAATATCCTTTCTGTAAAGCCGCGCGGGGATAAACAGTAATGGAGCATTCGGAGGCGAGAGGGATGTCAAGACGAGGTCGCGCACGAGATGCTTCCGACCGGATTGCAGTCTTGATTGAATTTTCGATATTTGCTCAGTTATAGATATCTACGTAACAAAGTTTTAACAAAAATGATTTAACTGTGCGCTATTTATATTTTTTAAAGATTACAATAACATTTTTTTCTATTTTTGTGTAGCCAAAACTGTTTTGTGTTATTTAACTAGATAACCAGCGACTGTATCGTCAATATCTATTTGTATTTCAATTGAGAAAAATCGAGTAACGAGTTTTTAGAAATTTAAATTAATTTTATTCTTCTTTTTGATAGTAAAAATGTAGTTAAATATAATAAAGCGGTTTGTGAGAAATATATATAATTTTTAGATAGAGAATAATTTTATATTTCTCTATTTAAAAATTATATATATTTCTCACAAACCGCTTTATTATATTTAACTACATTTTTACTATCAAAAATATAAATATATATATAAATATGTATATATATATACATATATATATGTATATATATATATATATGTATATATATATATACATTGACCGACATTTAAATATATCTTAAACAAAATGTGAGAGAGGCGCAAGCCTCTCATACATTCTCTCTTATAATATCTCTCATAAAAGCCGCATTATCAGCCGCATGGAACTCGATAAAATGCAGTAAATTTCCTCTAATGAGCAACATCGATAATAATACATGCTGACAATATTTGTCAGTTTTATTTTTCAAGCGTATTAATATTATTAATTAAATTTCTTTGAACTCTTGCACCGCGTATATATATTCGAATATTCAAATTGAAAATAAGATAATTGAAAAATTAACAACAAAAATTTAATTATGAAAACGCTTCGAGGTCGCTTCAGCGGTTTTTGTGTAAAAATATGTAAACGCCGGTATTAAAATCTGTCCTCGATAAACTATTTATAACGTATTGGAATTCATAACGTACGCGAGAGAGTTCGTCCGCATTATCGATGTGCATTGTATAAATGTGTAAGTTTGATTACTCCGAATTCTCAGATACATTTTATCATAGTAGAAAATAATTCTGCGACTCGAACAATTTTTCTTTGTTACACATCAGAGAAAATTCACTCGTTACTTGCGGATCATCCATTTTATGTTATATTCAACATATCGCTATAAATTTTATCACGTCTGACAGTTAGATAAGTGAAGACCGAATAATGCATCTCGTAGTTAGGGCAATGCAGGTCGAGTCCCTCCGGGGAAGGGTGGAAATTTCACGTAACCTGTTTTTTCTTGAAAGCTGGAACAAGGTCAGCGTAGCGCAGCTTCGAAGGGCGATGGAATATGGGGTGGCGACGGCGGGAGGGCAGGTGGAAACGCGCACGTGTGCATAGGCCTGGAGGACTATCCACCACTCGGTGGACACACAACTCGGACGCGACGACAGGCGACTTTGCCACGCAGCGAGGAGGTAGCGCGTAATAATATCGCATTGTGTGTCGTGTTCGTGAATATCCGAGACCGTTGAGGAAGGTCGCGTTCGCCGCGCCGTTTCCCGTTTGCCGCGTGGATAGGCGTAAATCGGAAATTAATTCCTTTTTATTCAATCACGGAGATTTAGCATTGAGACGATTTTTTTTAACTCTCCGGATCTCCGAAACCTTTAAGCAATTTTCCATGTATATTTTTGAGAACATATTTTATTTTATTAAATAATATTTTGTAAACTTAGTTTTTTATAAAATCTGTGAAATCAATGAAAAAAATATGTGCATAATTTATTAGTTTTAATGTATTAATACTAAAACTGCCAAAGCAACTTGATTAATATTAAAACAATCAAAGCAGTCAAGATAATTGATTTTTAAATTAATTGAAATGTATTGATTTGTAAATAATAAATTTTTTCAGAATTATTCAAATTTAAAACAGCACATTTTCCAAGTTTTTTCATGTTTTTGTTTTGATACACAATAATGATTAAATTTATCGATTTCTTTTCCTATTCTTTTTCTTTTTTTTTAAATATATAGCATACTTAAATTGTAAAAATTAATTGTCAGTAATTTTGGTGTTAATAACGTACTGCGTAATTAATAGTGTATATAACTTTGAATAGTGTATTATACTTTTTGAAAGGCAATTTAAACTTCTCAAGCATGATAGTCAAAATGGCAGTTATGGAGAAATTAGATTGACGCTTCCTCACAGGAACGTGTATGCCTTCTCAATTTAGTGGCGATCAATAGCGCGAGGATTCATTATAAAGGTCCATTTCTGACCGCTGAGGAAGAAGATGGCGTAGTTGAATGATGAGTACTTATTAAAAGATGAATCTTCGGGCATATAAGGGGGATTGCAAGCTGCCAGCGCATATCGATTTGTTCTTAGATTTAAAAGTGTCTTGGACAGAAAAATTATTTTCTCTCGCGCGTTGAGAAATAGAATTGCTATTAGTAAATATTTACGTATGCTTCGTCGCGAATTATGTTCTCTACAGCGTTTCGGTACCTGTAATTTTGCATTTAATCGTAGAAAGATATACGTTTGACCGATAACTAAATTCCTGTTATGTTTAAACAGCCTGAATAATAAAAAGATGATCTAAAGATTCACGTGCAGGTTGCATACTTTATCGAATTGTACATCTTTGGAAACGTAATTCAGTTTGCATGGGTTTAATTAATTTGCGCCGTGCAAACGTGGCACGATATACTCGAGTATTATGATATCCGTCATGGATATTGAAATACGCGAAATGTTTCGTATATTAAATTCCAAGAATCAAGAATCAGCATTTTACACGTCAAGAATTGCGACCTGCATATAAAGCTACATTAATTTGAAACACAGAGAGGGCACAGCGCAGCGAGAGGTGAACAGCGCAAGAAGAGATAAAAAATTACGTGAGACCTCCTTCTCTCGGAGTTGAGAAAATAGATTTCTGCGAGAGAAGGAAACCGCCGAGATCTCTCGGCTTTAAGGGATTTCCCAAGTCATATGACCCGAAATGGATCCTCGGCGATATTCCATTCCTGAATTGTGGAACGACGATTTCGAGGTTGTATGCATCCCATCAATGCCGAAGCGGGATTTCGGATATAATATACGATGTTGGTTCTGTAACATGTAAAACAGCTGTTCCGATTAATCATCTACTTGTTTCTGTATCAACTTGATGTCTAAATGGAAGAAAAATCGTTCAGGGCAAATTAATTCCAGATATAATAAAAGAAAAAGAAATTAGAATGTATTTCAACAGTCACTTTTTATGCAGTTTTTATACAGTTAAATTGTAAAAAGCTCATTAATTAATCCAGAATTAAATCACATTCTTTTTTAGAGTTGTCTCAAGAAAACAATATTTTCTTGAAAATCGTTTCAGCTGTATGTGTTATATTATGTAGTAGTAAACTCTATATATGATCGGACACGTTACATTCGATTAAATGAGCAAAATGTACATTAGTTTACACTCTCCGGAAAAATAAATGTACTTTTAGCCAATCAATATTACGTATGTAGTATTACTTTAAATACAAAGAGTTCATACTGATAAGATAAAAAAGATTTAATTTATAAAACAAGTATCGAAACGACAAACAGATCGACGCGGTTTAAAATTGTTTGGAGAGGGCTCATCGTGAAAAGAATTCATAAATCTCCGTACCTTATTGATGATATTCACAAGGAATATTGAAAATACAATATTTGTTTTTCAATTTCACGAAAATCTCTTAAAACGCGTGATGCGGTTCAGTAAACAAAAAGTAAAAACTCAATAGAGTGTCAAATGACCTACTTGTATTTACCTTTATTGCTCGCAATTTTTTTATAATTTAATCAACCGTGCGGCGGGGCGATCTCGTTACCCTTCCTCCACCGAGGTGTCCGGACGCAGCCGTGAAAAAAGGCACGTACCTAACGTGTAAAATCGGCGGCGGGCGTCGCTCCGGGATGGATAATGGAGCGTGACGAACCTCTGATTGCCGCTCTGAGAAGAGTACGCTCGCTATTGGACGCTGATAAAAAAGTAGCAGGTGTTAGCCGGCGACGGCGACGGCGACGACGACGGCGGCGGCGGCGGCGGCGACGGCGGCCGTTGCAAAAGCGATCTAAAAATATAATGTTCACTCGCGTCGCGTTGGCGTAAAATCGCGGCTCGTTCACGCGGCGTGTCCATCGATGTGACCCCGATATGTAGTCGCGATGTTCGTCGACTCTGAAAAAAAAGAGCGCATCGCCTTTTATTGTCTACAATAAAGTGGCAATAGACGCGAGACATCGACGGGAGGAGATACTATTCTCAAAGACTGGACGCGTTCGGCAGACATGCGACATGTAAGAACGTTTTAATAGCGTCTAAATGTGGAATAAAATAGATATGGAGATGTATATACGATATAAATATAAATATATATATTTCTTCTTATTCTATATTTATTAAAACACTACATAAATTAAAATTATAATTAAAATTATAAAATTAATATATTGTATATATGTATAAACTGAAATTTAAATTTTCGATAATTTTCTTTCTGTAAAATGGATTTCTGTTTCTATTCAGAATTATTCAGAATTGCGATTGTAGTTTTTAATCTTTCAAGAATAATTGTAAATTGCATGCATGTAGCTCTTATAACTTTATTATCTTAATTATATTTTTA